CCCCTCCCCCCCGGGGTTTACGGCCAGCCCCATCTACTGCCAGGTTTTGCCAATGTATGAAAAGGGACGCCTATATAAACATAGTATCTTCGCCTTCAAACCGCCATCCACCATTTGTCTGAGCTGTACGGCCCTTAGGCCATTATTAAACTAATGCAAATTTACATCGTCCTACCGCCAGCGAACTGACAGCCAGACGCCACAGGTACACACAGCAAATAGCATACAGCTACAGCACCCACTGATTGGCTTCTAGATAATCTTTAGTTTTAGTAAAGTTTAAACGGCGCTCGCAACTGCACAAGGCAACATGAGCGCCAAGGGGTGTATGTCAACGGAGAAGTCCAAACAGGGAATCAGGCTAACTCTGCTCACCTCTCAAGCCTCAACAGCACAAAGTCTGCTTCGACTATCTAGGCACCCCCGAAATAGCAGTTCACAAGAGAGTGACAAACATACGAAAGAAGTAGAGGAAAATGATGATAGTAAGGATGAGGAAAGAAAAAGCAGCAGTTCCCCTATGTTGTTCTGGCACAGTATGAGCATGACATAGATAAATCAGCCCATTTACAATTCTACTGTACATAAGAGCATGTTAATATCCCCCCTTTGGGAATGGCTTAAACACTTCAGTCAGTAGCACCGCCCTGGGGGGTTTCTTGATAATCTTTCTCCAACGAGAGAGATAAAGAATTCAAGAGAGAGAGAAAGAAGACTCTCAGCTCTGAATACATGTGCATGTACATGAATATCACCAAGAAAAAGTCACTTTTCAAACACAGATTGCACAGCAGAATCATGTTCCTTGATGTTGGGTAATCCGGGCTATACAACAGAGGAACCCCTTTGAACCACCAGCCCTGCTGTTTCGCCAACTTCATGCTCGTCTCTTCCCAACTGAGGTGGTATAACGAGGTTTGACTATATTTCTATCCTACACATCTTTCAAATGTAGAAATGAACAGTGGTTTTTGCACAAACTAAACTTTCACATCAAACAATAAAAGTTTATGAAATGAATATGTCTTGGAAACTCTTCCCTACCTAAGTCGTTGATGATTCGCCGAACGCCTTCCATCACTTGGCTCCTTTCCCATCCATCCCTGAGAGCTCTCCGTGCCGCCTCAGAGTTCAAGAGGTCGGAGTTGGCTGGTGCCGCATGTGAGTCCAAAGAGTCTGTGACGGTCGGTGCTGCATTGGAGTCCGATTGCTCTGTTTTGGCAGATGCTGTTGGTAGTAGTGATGATAATAATTATAATATTAAAGCGCATATCCACGCTCTGCAGCATGTTATATGAGTTTCACAATAGGCCTATCATTAACCCAGCAGATCCTATAAATAATAATAATAATAATAATAATAATAATAATAATAATAATAATAATAATGGTGATATTGAAAATAATGAAAATGGTAATAATAGCACAGCAATAACAATAACAATAACAACAATAACAATAGACAAGTGGACGTCTTAAAACAGTGTCATCATAATGTTAAAAACTACTCAGTGGCGTAAACGAAAACTGGCCGTTTGTACAGGTGATTGTCTTGTACAGGTGACCGTTAAAACATGTTCGGCTTTATCATCGTAGCCGCTTTTTGCTCTCTTTAAAAAAAACGTTGATACGTTATAAACTAGGTCAAAGTTCAACAGGAGTCACGACTTTGATTTTCCTGGAGTTGCAGCCCTTTTAATTGACTGTTACATAGTAGTTTGTTTTGTTTTAGTAGAGGTTTTACGGCGCTCGCAACTGGATACGGTCATATGAGCGCCAAGGGGTGGATCTCAACAGAGAAATCCTTACAGGGAATCAGACTTACTCTGCTCACCTCTCTAGCTTCTACTGCACAAAGTCTGCTTCGACTATCAAGGCACCCTGGAAAGAGTGGGTCACAACAGTGTGACAAACATACAAAAGAAGTAGACGAAAAATGACGATAGTAAGGATTAGGGAAGAAAAAGCAGCAGTTCCTTGTTACAGGTCAGGCACAGTTATGAGCGTGACATTGATTTACAATTACAATTCTACTGTGCATAAGAACTCGAGATGTTAACGCCCCC